AATGTTTGCAATCGACCTTTCTTTCTTAGTGAAACATTTCTCTTCGATTTAGGATTGATTTCCATAAGTTATGTGCATTCAATGAGAGTTTGGGGCAATCCTGACATTGCAGGCTTGTATTTGAGACTTTTTAATGACATAAAATGTAAATTTGAGTCAACTATAAATATCATTTGGTTCTTTTCAAGCTTTTAGTAGGGATATCTTTAGGTTTTAATTTTTTCTTAAATCTACTAATCTCGATTTTATTGATTTAAGTGTTTTAATAGGTTAAGTATAGGGTTGAGATCATCTTCCACTCTATTGGGGTCTTAGGTTGGAATAGAGTAATTGGTGATTTAATTTGTTGCATCTATATAGAATCTTTCTACTTTAACGGTAAAATAGGTGAATTAGGTTTGGAAATTTGACATACTAAGATACTTTGGGTTTTGGGTCTTGGTGGTGTGGTCCGATTAGTCAAATAAGACTTGGATGAAAGAGATAAAATTAGAATCTTTGTTGATCAGATAATTAAATAAAGGAATTTTGATTTGAAATTTAACATATAGGCATGGATTAAGATGAGGAGTTGGGTGAAAGGTTCAGATCTGAGAAAAGAATTTAATCATCTTGGTTGTCTAGCTTTATTTACCTAAGGTTGTTGAAATAAAATTTTTGCATTTGTATGGTTAATTGTTGTAGATTAAGGGTAGGATTTGGGGCTTGATTATATTATTAAAATCCTTGAATCAATGGATGTGCCAAATTTGTTTTTTAAGGTCAAGGTTCAAAATTAGCATAAATCGGGGCCATAGAAAAGAAGTTAGTATGATAAATAGTGGATTCTTGGAGCTTGGTCATGAAATTCAACATGTAACTAAGTTCTATTTTCCTAAGTCAGGTTTGTATTTGATCAGAATACTAAACCCTATGTAGTGTCAATGTTGGTCTCAATATTAATCGCATCAATTAGAAGTTAAGTTTATTGGTGTGGTTTCGTCGACATCAGTTGTAGGGATTGTGCTAAATAGATGGAATTTTAGGTTTTAGTAAGTTTTAGGTTAATTTGGTTATGATTTCAAATTTTGAAGTCTCAAAAGAGGGTATAAAGAGATAGGGTGAAGAGATCGAGCAAAAATTGGGTGTTGACGCTAGATATTGTTCCAATTTATTTGTCGTATAACTTTTTTTTACTAGTTTTTACATGGAACTTAAATGATTTAAGTATACTAATTATTATATATACAAATTTTTATTAATTTTTAAATTGCTAAATAAATTTGTTTTATATATACAAATTTTATTATTTTTAATCAATTTTTATTAATTTTTATAATTTTAGAATATATAAAAGTATACTAATTATTTATTAATCTTTATTAGTACTTGTTCTAATATTTATTAAATTAATTTACTTAATAAGACACTAAGTTTATTGAACTATATTTAATTAAGTTATTAAGTTAAATAAATGACTCTTTTTCATTTTTATTCTTACTGGTGAATATATAATTAATGGGTATTGCATGGCAAGGCATATCTCTCAGTCCAATCCTACACTACTTTTAGAATTTGAAGAAACAACATTCAAACACTTTCATTATAAGTTCAGGCTTTATACCTTTTTGGAGATAGTGGTGCCCAACCACACTCCATCCTGTATAAACAAAAGTAGTGTAAAATTGGATGAATAATCTTTACCAAATTGTTATCCATCTAGTCCAAATTTATCTTCTTAATTTTATTTTTCTTTATTTTTTCTTTACAAAGGTAAGGGGTCATAAATAATGCCTTACTTAATTTAGGAACAAAATTAACATTGATTAACTTCTTTATTTATGTTTTTGTTGTGTTCTTTTATTAGAAATTGAGTGTGAGTTCAATTATTAGTATATGAATATCCTAAATGATATGTTCTGCCACTAGAATATGTTGTATCTCCTATACTAGGTGTATTGCGGCATAAAAAATATGTCTATTATGTTTGTGCATATTTTGAGAGAAGACAACATGGTAGTTAATAGCTTGAAAAACTTTGATTGTGATGATTTGAATTGCCACATATTCAACATGATTGTTTGAAAAACTTTGCTTGTGATAGTTTGAAAAACTCCTTTTATATCCTCAAATTAAGAGATGGATAGTGTCATGGTTTGACTAAGAGGTTTAGGGAGTGTGCTTTTGTATGTTAGTACAATATTTCTAGTTATTTGCAATGAAATTTTAAAATGGTTGCATCTTCACATGGAATAAACTTTGGGGTTTAAAAAATTATTAGTGTATTGGTATATATTTTTAATTAATCATTATACAAATATATTACTTCTCTATAACTATATTAATTATTATATATTAATCTTCTAAATGCTATTTTTATTAAGTGAAATTGAGTCAAAAGGAATTGCAAGGTAGATTCACTTCCGCCTTTTATTAGAAATTGTATATTTGGAAACTCCCTGTATATCCCAAAATTAAGAATTGGATCATGGATGGACTAAGAGTTTTATAGTGTGCTTTTGCATTGGATTTAGGAAAAGGAAAGCTATGCCCTCCCTTCTACTCCTCTCTACCTAGACGAAATTTTGGGTTTGAATAAAATTTGTACATAGTGTGCTTTCACCATACTCCTTATAATATTTCTATTTAATTGTAATAAAATTTTAAGGTGGCCGCCCCTCCACCTAGATGAAATTTTGGGTTTGAATAAAAGAATTACTAGTATATCAGTGCAACTTCTATATTTGTATTAATCATTAAACTAGTATAGTAACTGTATACAGTATATTAATTACTATATAACATTTTTCTAATGAATGCTATATTACTAAGTAAAATTGAGGCAAAAGGACCCTTTCGGCATTTCAAAGTAGGCCAAACTGGATGGACACAAACCCAAGCAATGATATTTTTGAGTTATGTAATCTTAAATAAATTTTTATTAGTGTTATTAATTTTTAATTATATTTAGATGGAGCTTAAATATATTTTCTTTTTAATTAATAAATTATTTTTATTAGTAATTACAAAATAAGTTTATTTTATTTATATAAATTTTATTATTTTTTGTTAGGTTTTATCGATTTACATTATTTTCAAATTTATAATAATTTAATTACTAATTATTTGTTAATTTTTATTTATTCAACTTATTAAGTTTAAATAATTATAATTAATTAATTAATTTTTCAAGTTAGATAGAAAACACTTTTTGCAATTTCTTGAAAAGTTAGATTAGTAGTGGACATTTAATTTATCTGTTCAACCCTAACTTCCATTTAGAATTAAATGAAGCAACATTAGAATTTTTTTTCCTAATAAGTTGAGGCTCATACCTTTCTAGAGATGGTGATGGTAGTCCACTGCCACTAGTTGGTGCCCAATTATATCTCATCCTACATAAATAGAATCATTGTACAAATTGGACAGATATTCTTTACCAAATTGTTATTTACCTAGTCCAATTATATATCCTTATTTTTTTGTTTTTCTTTGCAAGGACGTGGGATCATAAATAATGTTGCAACTAATTTAGCAACAAAACTAAGATCGATCAACTTTATCTATGTTTTTGTTGTTTTCTTTTATCAAGAATCAAGTGTTAGTAAAATTATTTTTATATAGTATATTAATATCCTTAATGGTATATCAAAGATATGTCTATTAAGTTTTTACATATATTGAGAGAAAGCAACACGGTGGTTGATAGTTTGGAAAACATTGCTTGTGAGGTCTTGTACTATAATATATTTGGTATAGTAGATTCACATTCACCCAAAGTTACAAGTCGTTTATTTGATGACTCTGCGTATATCTCAAAATTAAGATTTGAGATCTAAATGCTATATTACTAAATTAAATTTAAGCAAAAGGAGCCTTATGACATTCCCAAGTAGGCCAAGTTGGATAGTAATTGCAAAACCATGTTAATTGTTGTTAAATTTCATTAGTTTGCATTAAATTTTATTAATTCACACTATTTTTAAATTAATGACAACTTACTAATTATTTCTTAATTTTTATTAATACTTTGTGATGATTTTTATTCTATTTATTAACTTATTAAGTTTAAATAACTATAATTAATTAAGTTATTAATTTAAATAAAAAACTCATTTCTCATTTTCATTCAAAGTGGGGGAAATCTATGATGCAGGACAGATATGGTATCGAAATAGTTTTGACCGATCAAAACCCACCCATGAAGTTTGATAAATAACACCTGATTGACTTCCATGCTTTATGATTCTAATTGATTGGTCAGACATTTATTAGATATCATATCTTTTCGATATCATAGTCGAACCCAAATTAGTGATGGACATTTAATTAATGGATATTTTATGGCAATGCACATTTCTTAGTCTAACCCGAGTTCAAATCAGTCCCCCACAACGTCCCACAGCACATGGGGTGAGCATTATTCGGTTAAAACCGAATAACCGAACCAAAAATTTTGGTTTCGGTTCGGTTTTTAGTTAAATTGGTTCGGCTATTTCGGTTTTTGGTTTTTGGAATTAGAATTTCGGTTAACCCAATTAGCCGAACTTTTTATTATTATATGTAATATTATATAATATGTAACATATAATATATAATATATTATATATTTATATATTAATATATAATATACTAAAATTCAACTTCATAATATATAATATACAATAAAGTATATTTTATTAAAATTTAGTTTTAACCGAAAACCGAACCAAAAATTTCGGTATTGGTTCGGTTTTTAATTTTTTTAGTTCAGTTTTTAAAGTTTTGATTTATTCAGTTCAATTTTTAATTGAATAAGCTGAATGCTCACTTCTACATCCCTGCCGTGTAATGGGAACATCTCCCGATGATGACATCACCATTTCTGGTATTATCATTGGAAGATGTTCCCAATACACAGTGGGGATGTGCTGTGGGATGTTGTGGGGGGCTGATTTTATCTCGTCTAACCCTACCATCCCTATAAATTTTAATTATACAACATTAGATTTTTTTTTTGTCTAATAAGTTGATGCTCATACCTTTCTAAATATGGTGGTGGCATGCTGCCATCCATTGGTGCCCAATTGCATTCCATCCTGCATAAATAAAAACATTATGTAAATTGGATAAACAGGGATCATAAATAATAACATTTATTAAATTCTTTTTTTTAGGTTTGTGTTGTATTTTTTTTATTAGGAATTATAGTGTATTAATTTGTAATATTATAGTGTATTAATTTGTAATATTAATAGTATATTAGTATATTAATATCTTTCATGGTATATCCTGTCCCTTGAATATTTTTCATCCCCTAGACCAAGTTTTCACTTGTATCAACAATATGTTCATTGAGTTTGTGCGTACTTTCAGAGAAGGCAACATGCTAGTTGATAGTTTGGCAAACTTTTCTTGTAATGCTTTTGTTGCAACATATTTGACATGATGGATTCACTTCCACCTTCTTTTGGAAGCTATCCCTTCGATGACTCTTTGTACTTCTTATAATATTTCAATTTAATTTTGATAAAATTTTAAGATGATTACACCTCCACCTGGAATAAATTTTAGGGCTTAAGAAATTATTAGTATACTAGTATAAGTTCCATATTTGTATTAATCAATATACTAGTATATAAATTTTATATAACTCTACTAATTATTATATAATAACCTTTTAAATCTATATTATTAAGTGAGATTGAGGAATAAAGAGTCTTATGGATAAGTGTTTTACCGTGTGTTCTTGCATTGGGTTTGGGCAAGGCATTAATTGCAGTAAAATTTTAAGGTGTCCATCCATCTAGAGTAAATTTTGGGGTTTAAAAATTATATGAATGTTCATACAAATTCTATATTTTTTAATCATTATACTTCTATATTAATTCTATATGACTATGTTAATTATTATATATTAATCTAAGTGGTATATTACTGAATGAAATTGAGGTAAAAGGAACCGTAAGGTTAAAAGTTTTTGAGTGTTCTCTTGTACTGGGTTTGGGGCAAGGCGGGCTATGCCCTCACATATACTTCTTATAATATTTTTATTTAATTGCAATAAAAATTTAAGATAGACAACCCTCTACCAAGAGTAATATTGGGGTTTAAAATAACTATTAATATATGAATATACATTCTATACTTGTATTAATCGTTATACTAGTATATTAATTTTATATAACTATATTAGTTATTATAAATTAATCTTCTAAATGATATATTACTAAGTGAAATTGAGGAAAACAAAGCCTTATCACATTCTCAAGTAGGCTAAGTTGGATGGAGTCAAACCCAAGCTGTACTTTTGGGTTATATAATTTTAAGTAAATCACTATTAATTGTTATAAACTTTTTAATAATTTTACATTAAACTTAAAGGAATTTTATTTTCCATTAATAAATTCAAATTTTATTAGTAACTTCTGTATAAGTTTGTCTCATTTATATTAATATTATTATTTTTAATAGGTTTTATTAATTTTCATTATTTTTAAATTAATAACAATTAATCAATCTTATTAATTTTTATTAATATTTTGTGCTAATTTTTGATCAATTAATTAACTTATTAATTAATGGATACTTTGTAGAAAAATGCATTATCAAGACAACTCTACCTTCCCTTTAGGATTTAATGCAATAACGTTAAAATTCTTTTCATAATAAATCGATGCTCATAAAGTATTGTTCATACCTTTCTGGAGGTGATGATCCAATGCCAGGGATTGATGCCCAAGTCCATTCCACCCTATAAAAAACAAAAGCATTGTACAATCTGGATAAGTAATCTTTACTAAACTATTAGTCACCTAGTCCAAATTTAGCTTGTACTTTTTATTTTACTATTTTTTTTTCTGTGCAAAAGAAAATTATCATAAATAATGTTATAGCTAATCTGGCAACAAAATTAAAATTGATTAATTACTTTATGAAGTTTTTATTTAGTGTTCTTATATTAAGAATCAGGCATGTGTTGAATTATTAATATATTAGCATAAATTTTATACTTGTATCAATCATTATACTAGTATATCAATTATATTCTGCAATATCAATTATTATACATTAATCTTCTAAATGTTATATTAGTGAGTGAAGTTGAGGTGCAAAGAGCTTTGTGGCATTACTAAGTAGACCAAGTTGGATAGAGTCAAACCCAAACATTACTTATGGATTATATCTAGTTAAATAAATCCTTATTAATTTTTATTTGCATTTTAAATTTTTTATAATGAACTTAAATTAGATTTTAATTTTTATTAATAAATTTATTTTTATCACTAATTGTTAAGTAATTCTATTTTAATTATATATGAAATTTATATTATTTTTAGTTAATATCTTTTAATTTCCATTATTTTTAATTTCATAAAATTAATCATTTATTAATTTATATTAATACTTTGTGTCAGTTCTTGCTATGTTAATTATCTTTTTAAGTTTAACTTATTATATTTGATTAATTTACTAAGTTAAATAAAAGTTCCTTTTTCTTTTATTTACATCCAATGCTAGATTAGTGGTGGATGTTTAATTAATGATACTTTATAGTGATTTGCATGCATTTCTTGGTCCAACCCAAGCATCTCTTTAGAATTCAATGCAACAACATTATAATGCTCATACATATCTGGAGGTGGTGGTTCACTTCCAGTCATTGGTTCCCAAGTCCATTCCATCCTGCATAAACATAAACATTGTACAAATTGAGAAAATAATCTTTACCAACTTGTCACCCAACTCATCAAGATTTATCTTATTTTCCTTTCAAAAAAGAATGGATCATAAAAAATGTCACACCTAATTTCACTACAAAATTAACGTAGGTTAACTTATTATTATCTATTGTGTTCTTCTATCAATAATCGGGTGTCTATTAAGTTATTAGTGTACTAGTATAAGCTTTATAGTTGTATTAGTCATTAAACTAGTATATTAATTCTACATTACTATATTTTATTATAGAATAATTCTTTAAATACTATATTATGGAGTGAAATTAATGTAAAAGGAACCTGCATTCTCAAGGAGGCCAAGGCTGTAAAGAGTCTAACCTAAGCACGAATTTTGAATTATGTGTTGTTAAATAAGTTTAATTGTATTAATTGTTATTAGTTTTTTGTTATTTTGGATTATGGAATCTAAATAGAATTTAGTTATTATTAATAAAGTTATTTTCATTAGTAAGTTTTAAATAAATTTGTTTTATTTATTTAAAAATTATTATTTTTTAAATAGGTTTTATTAATTTTCATTACATTTAATCTAGTAAAAGTTTAGTATTTATTTATTAAGTTTTATTAATTAGGATAATTAACTTATTAAGTTTAATTAATAATATTTAATAAATTTATTAAGTTAAAATGAAACACTTTTTTATTTTCATTAATTAGTGGTAGATATTTAATTAATGATACTTTATTGTGATATGCATGCATTTCTATCTCTAACCCGACCACCCTTTAGAATTAAATGCAACAATATTAGAAGCGCTCTCTAAAAATCAATTGTCCACTACCACTCATTGGTGCGCAAGTTCATTCCGTTCAGCATAAAACAAAAACATTGTACAACTTGGATGAATAATCTTTTTTTTTTTCATTTGATAAAGTTGGATGAATTATCTTTATGAAACTATCATCCAACCTATCTAGCTTATCTCATTATTTATTATTTTTAGATATAGATCATCCCAACTATAAAGTAAATACAGTTAAAAACAAAGCCTTTGATAATCTCTAAAACTAAAAAACCTAACTAACTTGTAAAAAAGGGATACCACAACCATCATTCTTTAGTAGATCAAGTCAATAAGTCATGAATAAAGTTATAGATATTGTCAGTTGGTTGATCACTTGTTGTCTTTGATAGCCAATCGACCACTTGTTTAGCTTTTCTATAGATGTGCACAAAGTCAAGGATACCAATATGCTATTCACTTCTACCTTTTATCTTGGTGTGCTGACTTAGGAGTCTCATCTCATTATTGTAATTCATTGTGGGGGTTCAAGGAAAGAAGAAGATTGATAGAGAGAGAGGTGCCTTCTACATGGGAACATCAATATCAGTTGCTACTACTGTTATAGGATTAGTAGAATTAATTTTTGGGAAGGAACTATATCTCTTAAAGATTTTCTTTATATTCCTCAATTAAGAAATTTGATTTTGGTTTCAAAATTGTTCAATAAAGGATATTCTTTACCTTTTAATAATAAGATTACTATTAAGATGAATAACAAGTTCATTGCCTCTTGAAACTTAGAGAATGGTCTTTGTGTGATCTACACCTTTTTTCAGAGACCAAATGTGACTAAAACAGTCATTGAAATTATTCCCATGATGGGATCTTGTAATACCATTAGTCTAACTTACCTATGGAATTTCAAACTTGGCCACAATAATTAAGAAAGAATCACAAGATTGGTTAGGGGTGGTCTCATAGAATTTCTATCTACAAAAGATCTTCCAGATTGTGATCCTTGCCTTCAAGGCAAGATGCCAAAAAGACCATTTGCTAAAAATGCCCAAAGGACTACAAGTACTTTAAACTTAATACATACACATGTATATGTCTATTTCATCTCATTTACCAATGATTACTCTTAGTATGGCTACTTGTACCTAATGTAGTACAAGCCAAAATCCTTTGTAAAGTTTAAGAAATTCAGACATGAAATCAAAAAATAATTAGTAAGGGAGACTAAAGCATTATGATCAAATCATGGTAGAAAATATCTCTCAAATAAGTTTAGTGTTTTTTTAAGGACACAAAAAAAATGTCACATGTGTCACCACCAATAACTCCTTCATTAAATGGTGCAACTCAAAGGAGAAACCTATCATTATTAGATATTGTAAGGTCTCTTATTGTACACTCAAAATTATCTATCCCCTTCTTAGAACATGCCTTGAAAATCCATTGTACTTGTTGAACCTCGTCCTGATAAGTTGGTTTTAAAGACTCTATATGAGCTCTGGATTGGTAAAAGTTAAGTGTAAGACACTTGAAAATTTTTGGTTATTTAGTACATGTCAAGAAGATAAGTTCTATCAAACTAAAATCCAAAACCATCAAGTGCCTATTCATAATCTACTTGAAGGTTTTCATGGGATATATGTTCTATGACCCTAGTGAGCAAAATGTGTTTATAAGTTAAAACACCCACATTATTGAAAATGAATACATCCTCAACAATCAACCTAAATAAGAAATGGTTCTTGAAAAGGAGATGGTCAATATAGTAGGAGAGTCCCAACAACACTAGGTTACTATGGATCCCATATTACTTAGCTAGATGATTTACTCAAGTATCTAGACCTCTCATCTGATAATTCTATGATTTAGAAACATACTTTATGGAATTTAGGAATGATGAGTTTGATCCCTTGACCTACATAGAAGCAACATTACACATAGACTTTGCGAAGTGGGTAGATTCCATAAAGGCTAAAATTGACTAAATAGAAACTAACAAGGTTTGGATTCTTGTAGATCTACTCCTTAGGGTCAAAGCAACAAGTTATAAATGGATTTTTAAGAGAAAAAAGGGACCTGATGGTAAAGTTGAAATATGCAAAGTCTGGTTAGTGGCAAATGGTACAGTTAGATAAAAAGAATTGACAGGAATGATGTATGAGACAACAATTCTCTATGAAAGATCTTAGAAAAGCTTTGTATATATTGGGACTTGTCTCGATAGAAATAGAATGAAGTGGATCATTGGACTCTCACAAGCCATTAACATTGATAAGGTCATTAAGAGATTCAACATGCAATACTCCAAGAAATGTTTGTATCTTTTTGACATGGGGTTACTCTATCCAAGAAAGGTTTGTATCTTTTTGACATGGGGTCATTCTATCCAAGGTTTAGCTACCTAAGACTCCCAAGGAAATATAGAACATGAAGAACAAACCCTACGCCTCAACCATTGGGAACCTTATGTATGCAATGTTGTATACTTGGCCTGACATAACATTGGTAGTATGTATCATGAGAAAATATTAATTGAATGTAGGATTTAAGCACTAGACTATAATGAAGAGTGTACCAAAATACCTTATAAGAACAAATGACTATTGTGTTGTCGTTTAAAGAAGTTCACTACAATTGGTTGGGAATACAAATGTTGATTTCTAGTTAAACCCAAAATATAGAAAGTCTTTATCTAGATTCATTTTTTTAGTAGTTGTTAGTTAGAAGTGTAGTAAGCAAGTGTCGATGGTGGATTCCCCAATAAAAGAAAAATACATTACTACAAGTGAAGCTACTAAGGAAGCTATTTTGATGAAAAAAAATTGTCCAAGAGTTTGGAGTTGTCACCACCATAACATCTTCCATCTCCTTATTGTGTGACAACACAAGGGCTATTGCTCAATCCAAGGAGCTTGGAGTGCATTCAAAGTTAAAGCACATTGAGCATAAGTATCATATTATCTAAGAGATAATAACACATGGAGATATTAAGGTTTAGAAAGTAGCATCAATGGAGAATGTGATATATACTCAATGAAAAAGCTATTAACGCAAAAAATGTTTGAGAAACACAATGACAACCTGGGATTACACTTATACTAGATTGGACCCGAGTGTAAGTTGGAGTTGCTAGATAGTGCATATGCCCTCAACCCCAACTGATGTATTTTATATACCTTTGTAATGAATAAAAACTATTTATTTCATATTCCATAGGGTTGAGGAATCAATTTTGACATGGTTGTTATTCATACACTATCCAAGTTAGTGGAGAAGTGGGTGTTAGTTAATCGAGATATGATATAAGGTCTGAGGATTAGTGTTTATAAGAAAGTTTGAACTAGACCAAACCTAGTATGTTCTTGGACTATTTGATAGGTGGAACAGTTAGGTGTTGCTTTTAATCCCTAGAATTGATATTGATATTAGATTAAGTATCAAACTTATCTATCTTTGATATACCAACCAATGAGATCCTTTTGGGGTCAAATGCCTAAATATATTAAGGTATTCAAGATGGTATGTCAACTAATTGTGAATGTGATAGCATTTTCTACTTTATTAAGGCACAAAGAATATTTTATACAACTTCTACTTTGGATTCTTGATTTTTCTAGTAATAGAATTATTTAAATCTTTAGTGAAGAATCCATTGGTCCCTTGCCATACAAGTTGGAAACTCTTAATTAGAAAATTTATTTTGTAGATTTTATAATGCGTTAAAGGTAAATTAAAAGTCTGACATAAGAATCTAGCCAAACTATCAAGTAGATTGTCTAATGGGATTAAGATTTGACTACAACATCTTGCTAGAAAGGTTCTAGTTTTTGTGTTGGATTAGGAGAGTAAGATCCTCTCTAACTTAATCCTAATTATGTTAGATCATAATAGATAGACAAGGAGACGATACTTGCAGCACACTATAGTCTATAAATAGAGTACAAAATGTGGAGATCAAACTCTATTAGTTCTCTCCTAACTTGCTAACTTTGACTTAGCCTTGTGAAATCAAGCTTCCTAGGGCTTTGAACCTCATTCAACCTGATCCATTAGTAGTCAACATGTACCATCGTTACAAACTTAAATGGTAGAGGTTGTTAATGTATATATGAATTGTAACAATGCTAGACTTTCAACCTCTAAATCATTGTTGAAGTTGATTGGCAACTATTCATCATTCATTTCACATCCTTATATAGCAACAATCGATGGTTGCTAGCCTATATGCTAGGGTTATGATCTGGTAGGGAATCAAGAATGGATATGGTTTCTAGGGAAGTTGCTTACTTTGAAATGCTGTGTTGCTTTCTCCTTATAGTCTATCCCCCTATGTATTTGAATGGAATTTTCTTTGAGTTGCCAACATTTCTTGTTAGGAAAATTGTAAATTAGGTGTGTCTCTACAAGCTACAAATACTAATAGGTCACCCAAATTCTAGAATAGCGTTAATTTATCTTTTCCCAAGAGAATATTGTTGCTATGCAACAACCTTTAGAGGTTTCTAAAGATAAAACAAGTACCAGAAAGGGTGAGATCATAGAGGAAGGAAAGCCTAAAAATAAGCCTCGAAGCAAGGATATCTCAAACAAGGAAAGCTAGTGGGAGGGGAAACGAGAGGGGATGAGATCAAAAGAGAAAGGGACCGGGCCGGGCTGGTCCATGGGCCGAGCTTTGGGCCAAGCCAGGCCACAGACCGGGCCAAGCTATGAGAGGTCCATTTTTTTAAAAAAATTGAAAAAGATGTTTAAATTTTTATTTCATATGATTTTTGATGTATATAATTGTTTATATATACAATTAGAACTATTCTTGGACTGGATAGCCCAATGGCCCAGCCCGACCTGACTCATTATTTTTTAGGCTTGGACAAAATTTCAAGCCCGTGGGCTTGAGCTCGGCCCAATATTATTAAATATATAAAAAAGTATTTATGTTATATATAATAAATATAATATATATTTGCTTAAATTATTAATAAATATCAATTTACTATTAGGAAATATAAATTAGTTTATTAATTTATTAAGTTATTACTAAATCAATATAAAATTGGTTTATAAAAGTATACTGAAAATAAGACATTTTGTGTATAGATTGGAATTCGGGCTTTATGTAAGGGTTGGGCTCGGGCTCAAGATCTAGGCCCAATGGTCGAGTCGGGCTCGAGCTCGGCTTCTCCATTTTCTGTTGATAAAGAGGCTCATGTTAATTATAAAACTATGATTTTTTACAAATTATTTTTTTTTAATTCTAGTCTAGTATAAAAAAATATAACATTTCTATATATTAATGTAAATTTTTTATCTAAATATTATATAATAATATTTACCATATATGCATATAACTTCCAAGTTGAGCTTATTAGTTTCAGTTTGTAAAGAGTACAAATGCAAATATGTACAACGTAAATACATACAAAATAATACAAAATATAAGGTTTTGGACTCTACATATTTGCATTTGTACTCCTTCCAAACTCAGCCTTAGGGGTTGTTTAGCTTGGGTCTTTTCTTCTGATTATCCCTAATAATGTGTGGGCATGGTGCATATCTCACCTAGACCTAACTCAAAAGTAAATGGTTGGTTGAGCGTGCAAATTTATAGATCTAATCGGGTTAGGTTAAGTTATAAATGATTTGTTACTTTTTATTATTAATTATTAAAATATTATAATTAGTAAATTACTATATTAATTTAAAACACAGTAATTTCTAGAAATTATTATATTTTCAGAAATATTGCTAATTTCTTGGCTAAAACTAATTAAATATAACGTTTTGGTAATTAAATATAACGTTTTGGTAATTAAATGTAACTTTCTACTATCTATAGCTTAAACTATAATTACTGTTATTACAGTTTAAAAACAATTATTGTTTATTATATTACTATTAATAATTAAAGTTCATTATTTTTTCATTATTATTCAGTTTTTTTTGGTAATAAAATATAATTAATTTAATTTTTTAATTAGTTTTAGTATTTTAATTAAGCTTTAGGTTTTTCAGAACTTTTAGATATTTAATTAATTTTTGTTGTTTTTTCATTATTATTTAGTAATTTTTTGCATATGAATATTTTTTTAATAATTTTCAGTATTTTTAGCATTTATTTTTGCATATTAGTCACCCCAAAATTAATTTTCATTTGTTTTCAGTAAAAATAAATTAAATAACTACATAAATACTATAGTTAAGGTGGCTTCTCCTCCATGTATAGATAGGTAGTATAGATTATGATACATTAGTCTTCTAAATGCTATATTACAAAGTAAGAATGAGCGAAAAGGAGCCTTATGGATGAAAATTTTAAGGTGGCTTCTCCTCCATGTAGAGTAAATTTTAGGGTTTAAAAAATTACTAGTATAAGTTTTATATTTTTATTAATCATTATATTAGTATGCTAATTTTATATAACTATATTAATTGTTATATATTAATCTTTTCTTGAATTTTAATAAAATTTTACGCTGATTACCCTTCCAATGGGAGTAAATTGGGGTTAAAAAATACTTTGTGCTAATTTTTGTTCAATTAATATAACTTATTGTGTTTAAATGTTTATAATTGATTAAGTCATTAAATTAAATAAAAAAACTCTTTTGTTTGTTTATTTTTTTTTATGGTAAGATTATTGTTAGATATTTAATTAATGGATACTTTATTGAAGCATTATTAGATTTTTTTTCTAATAAATTGAGTCTCATACCTTTCTTGATGTGATGGTTCAATACCAACTATAGATGCCCAAGTCCGTTCCATCCTACATAAACAAAAGCATTGTACAAATTAGACGAATAATCATCACCAAATTATCACCTAATTCAACTTTATTTCATTGTTTCTGCTTTTCTTTGTTTTTTCTTTGTAAAAGAAAAAGGATCATAAATAATGCCGCAACTAATATGACAACATTAAAATCCTATAATTTCTTTACTACTTTTTTATTATGTTCTTCTATTAGGAATCAGATACATGTTAAATTACTAATATATTAGTATAAATTTTATATATATAATGTATTAATCATTATATATGCTAGTATCTTAATTCTACAATTCTATATAATTATTATATCAGATATATTTGTATTATGGCATTCACAAGTAGACCAAGTTGGATAGAGTCCAACCAAAGCATTATTTATGGGTTATATGTTGTTTAAAATGTTCCTATTAATAAATTTTAACTTTTTGATATTATTATAATTAACTTAAAATGCATCTTAAGTTTTATTAATAAATTTACTATTATTACTAATTGCTGAATAAATTTGTTTGAAATATACTATTTTGTTATTTTTAATTATTTTTTTTAATTTTCATTATTTTTTCAATTGATGCAAAAAGGTTTATTAATTTATATTAATACTTTGTGCCAGTATTTATCGAGTTATTTAACTTACTTGGTTTAATTAATTATATTTACCTAAGTTATTGAGTTAAATAAAAAAACTATTTTTTTTTTCATTTTCATCCAAGGTTAGAATAGTGGTTGATATTTAATTAATGGATACTTTATAGTGATATGCATGCATTTTTTGGTCCAACCCTACCATCCCTTTAGAATTCAATACAACGACATTAGTTTGATGGTCATACTTCTCCGAAAGTGGTGATGATCCACTGTCATTCATTGGTGCCCAAGTCCATTCCATCCTGCATAAACAAAAATATTGTATACAATCCATGAATAATCTCCACCAAATTGTGACCCACCCCATTTGGCATTATCTCCTTGTTTTTATTTTTCTTTCCAAAAGCAAGAGATTATAAACACACCTAAGTTAGCTGCAAAATTAACATCAATTAACTTATTTATTATGTCTCTTTTGTGTTCTTCTATTAGGAATTGAGTGTTTGTTAAATTATTAATGTATTAGTATAAACTCTATATTTGTATTAGTCATTGAACTAGTATAGTACATTATTATTTATTGTACATTAATTCTCTAAATGTTATATTATTAAGTGAAATTGATGCAAAAGTAACCTTATGGCATTCTCAAGTGGGCCAAGCTAGATAGAGTCCAATCTAAACATGATTTTTGTATTATGTGTTAAATAAATTCTTACCAATTGTTATTAAGTTTAAAAAGAAAAACATTTTTCTAAATTTCATCAATTAGTGGTGGATATTTAATTAATGGATCCTCTATAGCGATGTGTGCGCATTTCTTTCTCCAATCCTACCATCTCTTTAGAATTTAATGAGATAACATTAGAATTCTTTCCCTAATAAGTTAATGTGTTCATACATCTCTAGAGGTGGAGGTCCACTATCACTCATTTGTGCCCATGTCCATTCCATCATACATAAACAAAAATATTGGACAAATTAGATGAATAATCTTTACCAAACAATCACCCATCCTATCTAGTTTATCTCCTTGTTTTTATTTTTCTTTTAAAATTCAAGGGATCATAAATAATGTCACACCTAATTTGGGTACAAAATTTAAATCGATCAACTTATTTAGTTTCTATTTTGTTCATCTATTTGGAATGGGTGTGTATTAATCATATAATACATTGCTATATTAATTATTATACATTAATTCTCTGAATGTTATATTATTGTGTGAAATTGATGCAAAAGGAGCCTTATGGCATTCCCATGTAGGCCAAACTGGATAAAGTCCAACCTAAGTATGACTTTTGGATTATGTGTTGTTATATAGATTTATGTTGATTGATATTAATTTTTTATTATTTTTAAATAGAAAGCAAATGGATTTTAATTTTAATGGTATTTACAAGAAGATGGGTCCTTCAATCTCATTCAAGCATCTGTCTAACAAACGATTTCAGTTTGTAGTTGAATCTGAAATGAGTCTGTGTAGTAGGTAGGCCCTTGAATGTCTCCTGCTCAAATGCTATTGATGAGAGTGGGGAGGCAATGGTGAATCCCTTGGCTCTAGAGGCTAATGTTCTTGGTGTTGAGAATCTTAATTAGGGAAGAACCTAAGCTCAACGTTTTGACCATCCTTGCTGACCTAGTTGAACATTCTGCTAATTACTCCATTAGTATGGAGCAAAGTATGGCACATGACATGCAAATCTGTAAGCCTCTGGGACTGGTGGTGTTCGGTGGGGAAGAGTGGGCCTGTAAAACCTTTCTTCTGATGTTTCATGATATGGTTTGATTGAGGAGTAGGGTGATTTGGATTCTGATGGTTAGAGTTTGGGTGAAGAGGATGCTGATAGTGCCTCTTCTAATTAGAATGATTCCTCCGTTCACCTTGGTGATAGTTCTAGTGAGGTTGACGAGGATCCTGCCTTCCAACTTGGTGGAGTTCCAACCTCTAGAAAGACAAAGGAATTAAGAGATATTTTTTGAAACTTTTGTGTGTGGAGAAAGTCAAAAGAAGTTCCAAAATTTGGGAGAATGATGGTTCAGCCTAGGGTCAGAATTTGTAGGTTCAAAGTACATTTGGGTTGGTGCTAGCTCGGAATTGATGCCAATTCACGGGCAGGTATAAATGCATAAAATGTGGGTTTTTGACCTTTTAAATGTTTATAATTCTATAATGGAAATCAGAAATCTGCATTGTGCTTGTCCATACTTCTCCGCCAAAATTATGGTTAGGGCATAGGAAGTAGAGGTAGGAAGTTTGGTTGAGTGGGGTCAGTCTTTCTTTTTCTACAATTTTCATTTGTGATATTTGTAAAGTGGGCATATACTTTTTGGTTTACCGGTGGGATGGGCTTGTTTTTGGTTGGTTGTACCTTTTGCTTGGTTTGTAAAGATTGTTGTGTTGGTCGGGACTTGGGCTCAAGTTTGATTTTTTTTTTTGTTGCTGGAGGTGTGTGTCTTTTGGGCCCTCTTGTATCTAAGGGTGTATGATCAGTCGGTTTAGTTTGGTTCAATTTAATACGAGAACTTAATTGATTATTCGGTTTTATTATTTTCTTTAACCGAACTAAATCGAACTATGTTTTAGAATCGAACCAACTTTAATCAAATTTGGTTCGATTTGATTTTTTTTCGGTTTGGCTTGACTCTAATTCCACATAAATGATAAGCATTTAATAAGTGTTGTTAATTAAAAGTTAAATAGCCTCAAAATCCAATGATTTTAATTAATTAAATATTATTAATTAAAAGTTAGATTGACCCTAGAGTCCAATGATTTTAATTAATTGCTAATGGGGAATTGGCGAATTGGCCATTTTTAAAAACAATTAATGATTAATAAACAATTAATGACTAATGAACAATTAATAATGAGTGTAGGTTTTAATTTACTATTATTAATTAAAATTTAGAATGTTCTTAAAGCCCAATAGGAAATTGACAAATTAATCATTGGGAAATATAATAATTAATTAACATAAAGTATTAAATAAAGCATTAATATATAATATTTTTGATTAAATAACAACATTAATTTGATTTTTGGTTTGGTTCAGTTGAAAAATTCAATCAAACTGAACCAAAACCGAAAATCGATTTAAAAAAAAATAAAACTGAACTGAACAAATAATTACCAAATTAGCTTATTCGAGTTGGTTCAGTTCAATTTTTGGTTTATTAACTGAATTTGAACAACTCTACTTATATCTTTTCTCTTTTCTTTTTTCTTTAATATAATTTTATTTTACTAGTAAATATGCACATGCATTGGATGTGGCAATTTCGGATAACAATAGCAATCTCAATATCCTTGGGGCAAATTTCTTAAACTACTCTTACCATTTATTTAATTGACAAATTGTACCCTTACTGTTTAACTATTGTCTTATACCATCCTTATTCTTTTTGACAATTGACTAAGCTCTACCCCTTCCTTTAGCGTACTAAAGGTTTTTCGACTGCCAATGGAGTGCGTTGGTCCTTGGATGAGATATTTTCCGTCTGCTAATGGAGTGTGCTAGTTTGCCAAAAACCGTACTAAAGGTTTTCTGGCAAAAGGCGAAAGCCGATTCATTTTTTTTTTGTCTTTTAGTGTTAGCACTTGTTTTGTTAGATTGGTTCAAGGGAGTCTACATGCACGCCTCCTATTGGAGGATTCACGTGACCCGTAAACCTAAGGGTCCACTGAATCCGTTCTCTTCCACCAAAACTTCTTCATCCTTCTTCGATCAAAGTCTTTCATCAAAAAATGGCATCGTATTATACTAGAAGATGTGGATCTCAACTCTTTGACCTTCCCTTGAATATTTTGTATTGTGGAGGCACATAAGAAGTGTTGGAAAATAATAAAGAAAGTAGATGGAACTTATTGGTAATCACTTTCCAAACCGAGAACTTGCTGGAGTGTGTGTTGCAAAACTGCAAAACTGAGAGGAGGCCTATGTCGTGCCACTTGATCACTTTCCTTAAAACCGCATTTGCCCCCTACGGTGCAACCGGGTGATCGCAAATCGCTCACTAAGATAAAATAGCCCACATGCCACTAGTAGGTGTGCATTTGCTTACTAGACCTCCACGAACCATAGAGAGATGATGCTCAAATTTGCAGAGAAGAAGAATGTCAAAAATGTTGGTGTGTAAACTAGATTGACCAACACTCCTTTTATAGAGAGAAAAAAACTATAGATATACTCTACCTCCATTTCTTTACCAAGCAATGTGGGATAAGGACTCTCCCATGTACTCAAAAATGGGAAGAGGAAACGACAAACTCAAAAACAAGAGAGGGAGGAGAGATATTTTTGCAATTTTGAATCTCCCTTCAACAATCCCCCACTATTCAAAATTATAAGAAGATCGAACAATCTGAGCATCATAGTGAGAAAAGTATTCATGGTAATGTCTTTTGGACTTCAATCAACACTTAAGTATAACAAGCTATGTTATAGAGTACGGGTGGAGTTCCCCTCTTGAAATCATGAGTGTTTTAGAAAATCAGCCCTAGATCTCTCTTAGAAGCGGCCTCACTTCACACTCACTTAGTTCAGTTATTAGTGTGCACTAAGCACACTATTCTTAACTGATTAAGAGCCTCATGCTCAACCTCCTTAAACTACAATAAGCACTATCTTACCTCGACATCTGAAATGTGACACAAATGATAATGCTTTTCCAAGTTATCTAGTGACTCATTTTTACCCATTCAACCTAATTCTAGGGATTTCCTTTCATATAGGTTGGGTATCCATCACTAATGACTTATGTAATGGGCTTTAGCCCCATTCCTACCGATACCTCATAAACCACCTTAGAAGTTTGTGATTTGGTTAACAAATCTACAAGGTTCTTTTCAGACCTTACAAAATCTAGAGCGATTGTACCTTCGTTGAGGTATTGTCTTACCAAGTTATGCCTTAAGCGGATATGCCTTTTTTTACTGTTGTACGTCTGGTTTTTGGCTCTAGATATTGCTGCTTGGTTATCACAATGGAGAGATATCGACGGAACTGACCATGGCCAAAGTGGTATATTCTTTAGTAAGTTCCTTAGCCACTCTGTCTTGAACCCTACCAATTCTAATGCAATAAACTCAGCCTCCATTATTGAACTTGTATTACATGACTACTTTACCAATTTCTACAATACTGCTCCTCCATCTAGAGTAAATACATATCCACTGGTGGAAATACTATCCTTTGAATATGAAATCCAATTCACATTAGTAGAGCCTTTTAAAGTAGGAGGAAAACCTGAGTAGTGTAAACCAAAATTTATAGTTCCTTTTAAATATTTTAATAATCTT